TAAGCCCATGTGGGTTGATTCTACCCACCAATCAGAGGCTTGCTCTAATGGAAGGTGTGAATTTGCTGTCAGCAGTGGGTGTGTTGGCCCTGGTCGGCCTGAAGCAGACCCCCTTGAGAAGAGGGCTGAGAATGAGCCTTGGTTGGCCCGGAAAAATACCAGGCCACCCAGATATGTAAACAACCTACGCTACCCGGCCCGGGCCGACCCGGTACAGATGGGGGGGTCTGCTTCAGGCCGACCAGGGCCAACACACCCACTGCTGACAGCAAATTCACACCTTCCATTAGAGCAAGCCTCTGATTGGTGGGTAGAATCAGCCCACATGGGCTTAAGACAAGGATGTGTGGAATCAACCGGGCCAGGCTGGGGTCGACTGGGGCTACCGAAATTATGACACATCTCACCTTTATGTTAATATTGTTTTATTTGATGCACTCCACTTTGAACTGCACCAATCCAGCAGCTGCTGCATTTTAATAACTAGTATTAAAGGTGAATACACCAATATTTGCACAAGAAAAGATTCTGTTTTAAACTCTCAGTGACACACTTTGCAGGGGGGGGTTGGCATTTAATTTTTCTTGGCGTCTGGAAAAACATCTCCTTCTGCCCCCCTTTATTCTGGTCCAAGATCATTACTGGGCTGGCCCTGTTAAACACGTTCTACACCCCTGCTTAGTAGACTTAATGAAGTATTTTTAAGCCAGTATAAAAATGACTGAAACACAAATTTACATATTTGGCATTATTGACCAATATCTTTGATTTAATTTATTTGTTAAGAACATCAAGATGCATTACAGTGAACATTATAATAAAGTACATTTTTCTAGTGCAGAGAGGAGACGACCCATAGAAACACTGATTTGATCTCATTTCAGAGAAAAATAGAACAGGTCAGATGCACCTAATAAATAAAATTACTAACATAAACGCAGGAATCTGTTTCTTTGCTTCACTGTTCTGGTGCTGAAAATATCACTAATGCGGATCAAAGGAGACACACAGATGAATGCATCTCTTATTTATTATTTGGAAATTAGTGGGTGTGGTTTACATCAATACATTATTTTAAATCTGAAATTGATATGGACTGATCAGAAGTTGTTTATTTATAAACTATTGTTTATTTGAAAACTATTTACATAGCAGCCTCAGAAATGAGATTAAATTTTTTTTATCACAATAGTAAAAGTATTACAGAACAAGTTTTTCAGTAAAATCAGAACATTAATATTTAAGTGCATGAATTAATGCATCTGAACTCATGCAGTAGGAACTAGGAAATATGAAATACTAGAACCATTTCATTTTAATTTGATTAAACTGATTTTTTTCCTAACGTTGGCATTTTCCCCACACACAGTTAAACAAAACAATGTTGATTAAGGTGTGTTTGAGAGAGAGATAGAGAGGGAGAGAGAGTTAAAATAATTTTAAAAACCCGACCGGAGCGGAGGCAGTGACCGACGCATGCACGAGCCATTTTCAGCTCTGTCTTGTCAAATGCACCACGTACGTTACGAATAAAGTAACTTTAAACATTGAACTGAAAAAGAGGCGAGCTGAAGAAAACCTAGGGAGTACTGAAGAAACGTCAGCAACAGTGAAGCAAGCACAGAGAGATCCGTTACTGTCTGTGTGTGTGGCATGCCTGGGCCGAGCTGACTGCGCTCCCGGCTGCAGTTTTGTGTGTAGGGAGGGGCGGGCGCTCTATGTGACTGACCAATCACAGAGCGTGAAGACAGTCAGTTACCCAGTGAGGATTTTCCTTCAGCACGATTACAGATATTTATGGGTTTTACACTCGTTTCATGCTTGTATTCGTCAAAAATGCTTTATCCGTACGCTCATCCCTAGCTGTAACCACCCTGCCCTGCCTCCTCCTCCTTGCTGCCTGCCGGCTGTGATCACAAGCAACAACACAGCAGTTCCCGCTGCTTCTTCAGGAAACGGCGCAAAAAAAAAAATCAATAAAACTTGGGATCTTGTAGGCGTGGCGGTGGGATTTCAGCCTATGTCAGGGAAACACTGCTTTTACATGCCATGGAGAAAATGAACGCCAATGTGGCGTGATGACGTAATCAATATGTAAATTAGCATATGACATCATCTGGCGACATCTAGTGGCTTTTGGGGGGAACTTCAGCTACTTTCAGTCAAAAACAGTTGGCAACTCTGAGCGAATCTACTCCAAGCCCCTCCCGGATGACCGAGCTTCTCACCCTATCTCTAAGGGAGAGTCCATATATTATATTATATTATATTATATTATATTATATTATATTATATTATATTATATTATATTATATTATATTATATTAATGCTTTAGTGCTATATGGGTGTGCTCTACCAGGTTGGTTGGTTAAAGGGTTAAAATAGCAAACAACTCTTTATTTATTTAAATAAACAATTAAATGAAGTTAGCACCATGCATAGCACTAAAACTAAAATACAAGATAATTTTGTTACAAGTTCAACTTTATTTTTGTAAATCTACTTGTCATTGGTCATAAAGTTATGTCCATGGACTTGTTTTGCCCTCTAAAATCCATAAAGTTTCATTTTAAATAGATATTTGCTCTTGGTGAGCTGTGTGAATTCTTGGAATGATAATTTAACACTCGGATAACTTCACCACGTCCAATCTCCAAACAACAAGCAACTTACATCCCATAATTTTGAGTTTGTGTTGTTTTGTTTTGGTACTATTGTCTGTTGTTTACCTTTCATGGAATAAAAACAGTGTGGCCCAGATTCGTAGGAAAACTGAATATCCACTGAGATGTGTCATGTGTTTCAGGATGATCATGAGTAACATCTATGGGAAGGACGAGGTCTTTGAGTGGCTGACGTCATCACAAGTCACAGAGGGAGTCATGACTGTGTCATCCTATGCTAACAAACAATGAGCGGGATAGTTTGGATGAAAATGTGGAAACAATTTTCTCCACTCTGTGAAATTCCTAACTCCAACAACGGGAGCTAAATCGTAGCTTTCCTTGCTTGCTGCCTGTCACATGGTCCTGAGAAGATCTTGGGTTGCTGTGGAGTTTGGGGACTTATTTTTAAACGAAGGCAGCATGAGTTACGAGTGTTCTGCGAATCATCTGAACGCGTCTAAACTGTATGTTTGGAATTCCAGACGAGAGGCGCTTATAGGACTGGAGCTGCACATGCGTGGGTGACAGCTGCTGGTGAGGCCCTGCAGGCCTATAGGGAGGACACCCACCACTGACAGCAATAAGCTCCGCCTCCTTTCTTGTGTTTCTATCCATGGAGGTTGACATTACCCCAGCATGAATCACAAGGCACTCTTCAAGAGTCTTTGCTCTGATTTATTCACCTGAATTGATTAAAAAAAAAAGATAGCGTTTGACAGATCCTCTATCCAGGGGTGCCCCTAGAAATTTTTCATGGGGGGCCAGTGAAAGATTTAGTTTGGCACATAAAACTGGTCTTTTGGGTAGTTCTGGGAGCGTAAAGCCTTTAGCTGTGCATTGCTGGCTCTTTCAAGATTCATCATTTGAAAATCATATTTACCTCAAATTTGAGAAACTAAAACATTTCAGAAACAGCAGCAATTTTTTAGGAGGGGGGATCTTTAGCCATCCCTGGACAACCCTTGAGGGCACCACTGCTCAAATCTCAGACTTTCAGATGTTCCTTTTTTTCTGCGAATAACATTTTTGTCCTCCACAAGTTCACTTTTATCCCTGCGGCACATCTTTTGTTAAGGTTGAATAAAAGGACAGAAAAATGGTGAAAAAATCAGCCAAAGTCCAAGAAAATAAAACTTTGGAAAGTGTTAAAAACTAGAAAAATAAAGGAAGTTTGGCTTAACGGAAGCAAAAAGACTTTTACACAGCATGCACACACACAATGCAGGAACACAGGTTGATGCAAGCAGTGAGAACAAAGAAAACAGGAGATTATCCGCATCAGAATTTAAAAATGCTAAAGAAAACAAGCATTTCTGGTCATTATGGTGATTTACGGAGCTTGATGGACGGTCAGCCTTTTTAAACAGTTGTCATCACAGCTCACAGCTAAGTAAAGTCACCTTCTGCAACAGCTGATGTGATGAGCTCAACATATCCGGACTCATTCAGCTCAGTTTAAACTGGGACCACATTATTGATTAACAGCATCACTTATTTATTTACAAGCTGGGGCTGATAACATTCTCAGCGCTTTCAAAGAGCCGCTTGAGGAAAACCTGATTGTGCACAGAAATGCTGGGAGCTACAGGGTGGGAAGGAAGCATTTCCCAGTTTCTCCTGAGTTCACTGAGACAAGGTGATGTGACGGCGTCTCCCAGGAGCCGTGTGTCTCCTCCGAGACTCGGATGACTTCATGCGGATGAAATGGAATTCACTTCTCTGCAACCCCCTCCAAAAATATTCAGAATGAATGATGTTCTCCTTCTGCTGCTCATCAAGGCTCAAGATATAACTGTGTGTGTGTGTGTGTGTGTGTGTGTGTGTGTGTGTGTGTGTGTGTGTGTGTGTGTGTGTGTGTGTGTGTGTGTGTGTGTGTGTGTGTGTGTGTGTGTGTGTGTGTGTGTGTGTGTGTGTGTGTGTACAGTAGCGCTGCATGGTGCAGGCTGCAGAGGTGTTGGAGTTGTGGGGGAAGCTGAGGTCAAAGGTCGTTTGTAAGTGCATCTAATAATCTTGAGCAAACTACTTTCACTTTGTCCGCCGAAGCTGAAGGCATCTCCTCCCACGTGCAAATCACAACATTTCACAATAAAAGCCTTTATTCATGCAGTCACAGAAAAGTCACTGAAAAATGTTTGATTCATGACTTTCATGTGCTGCTGAATTGTTGTTAAGTCTCATTCACAATGTAGGAATCTATGAATGATTGATGAGCTGAATCGAGTCCATTCGTTAGATTAAATGTTTTTTTTCTGAAAACGAAGTAAAATTAATTTCTTCCACTTAATCGCAGGGAAAATGTTTTTATTTGCATTGAAACTAAAGTTTTGACTTACCTTCTGCTTCAGTATCCACAGATTTCAGATTTAAACAATCAAGTTATCCTGTAAAAGTCTTAAAAACAAAGATATTTGTCTACTTTTATCCTCTTGATTCTCAAAAGTTGATGCCGGAATCCATCTGAAGCTCTGGTGTCTGTTTCTCTCTCTTGTTTCAGGTCTTCAGGTCATGAAGGGAATGGCAGAGAGCAACAGCATAGCTCTGCAACGTCCCTCCTTCCCTCTGTCACTCCCACAGCCTGCCCGGTTACGTTCCTCCCCGTCCCGTCATGGAGCCAGCTGATGGGTGTGTGAAAATATAAAAGGGGAGAGGATCAGGCAGTTCTGCCTCTTAGAAGGACCGTTGCAGAAGTGTTGAAGAGCCAGATTCCTTAACTCCTCTCTTGTCTTGCTGATTAGACTCCCAGAACAGTAGAGCTCTATTTTTAACTCCATCCTCTTTTGACAGAACGGGCACCGTTAGCAGCTGCGGCCGGCTGAATGTTGGATGTTTTGGCTGGCTGGACAGAGCCAACTCCCTCCCCTTCACCCCTGGTGACAGCTGAACCATTCAAGGCCATTTTGTCATCCTGGGAAAGTCTGGTGACAGCAGCCACCCGAGTCCCAACAGAAGTCCAAGAACCACCAAACTGCTGACCTCAGAGGGGCGAGCGTGGCTCAGCTCTGCAGCTCTTTGGCAGCTCGGCTGTTATTTTGGTGAAAACTGTCTAATTTAGTGACCAGGATGCTGCTGCATGAACACACCTAAACCTGGCTTGCCCAAAGGGCCAAAAGCTTACGAGAACTGCTTATTTCAGGGATATTTCAATGTTTAAGACAAACAGGCTGCTACATTTTCTCATCCAACACAAAGACCAGAAACGTCTAAAAACGGTGAAAAGAAAAGATCGGTTCAGTTCGTTTATACTTTATTATGGCTGCAAAGATTGTAAAAGTGGAACCACGTTTGTTCAGCACATCATCAAACAGAAAGATAGCAATGATAATAAAATAGGACAGGAATGATGCTCCTTTTGAACTACAATCAAGTTTTTCAAATGCATATTTTTAAATTACACCATGTTTATAACTTAGAATACACTGCATGTTTCAAGATCCTGGTTCTGGTCTATAGGGCCTTACATGGACAAGCACCATCTTACATCGGTGATCTTCTTAGTCCCTACACCCCCAGCAGGTTCCTGAGGTCCAGTGATCAAAGCCTACTGGTTGTGCAGCACCAGGCTAAAGACCAAAGGTGACAGATCATTTGCTGCTGTGGCCCCCAGACTCTGGAACTCTCTCCCCCTGAGCCTGAGATCAGTGGACTCAGTGGTCTCCTTTAAAAAGCAGCTGAAGACTCACTTGTTCAAGCTGGCTTTTGTATGACCTTCTTCACCTCTCTCTCTTTATTCTGCTCTCCCCACCTATTCCACCTTCCTCACGATCCACTGATTTCCCTCTTTCCTATTCACTCTCTCTCTTTCTTAACATTTTTTAATCATAATTGTCTAATTTTGCTCATTTTAATATATTTTTATACATTTTCTAAATTCTTTTTTATATTTTTACATTTTTTGTTTTTGTGAAGTGCCTCGTGATTTTTATCTTGAGAGGCGCTATAGAAATGATATTTTCTTCTTCTTCTTCTTCTTCTTCTTCTTCTTCTTCTTCTTCTTCTTCTTCTTCTTCTTCTTCTTCTTCTTCTTCTTCTTCTTCTTCTTCTTCTTCTTCTTCTTCTTCTTCTTCTTCTTCTTCTTCTTCTTCTTCTTCTTCTTCTTCTTCTTCTTCTTCTTCTTCTTCTTCTTCTTCTTCTTCTTCTGTACACTCCATTAGGTTACCACAACTCCAAATTTTGCCAAAAAGCTTTTGAGTTTTCTAAAATTAAAATTCCTTCTAATATTCTAGTTTCATAAAAATTGCTCAAAAAGTCAACTTTTAATTTTTTACTAACCCCCTTTTGAAGAGTTTAGGTATATTACCTGAGACGTTTTTTTTTTTTACTTTTTAATCCAGGTGATTATGTCAACAAAACTTTGAAACCTTTCTCATGAATGAAAATATGAAGTCATTTGTTTGATTTTTAACAAACTTCCGTCTATCATTATAGTGTTTTTGTGCATGAAGCTACAAAGTGAAAAAACATCAAAATTCACTCTGTCATACTTTTTGATTCCATCTTTGACCTTCTTTAAAAAGCCAAACATGCAAACAAATGTTTTTCTCTCATTATTACTGTGAAAACTTATCGGAAGGTTTGTGACAATGACTCCGGGACCACGACAGCCATCTAATTCTTCATGCAAAGGTTTTGCTTATAATTTAATTGATTTTATTTTATTGTGAAAAACTGCTTTTTGCAGATGTTTTTGACTTAAATCTGTTTTTTCCTGAAATGCACGTAAATATTTATCCTATAAGAACACTCATTGACTCGTTTTTATTGCTACGTGTGCTCGAGTCTGCATTGTAATTTGCAGTTTGGGGATTTTTGTGGTGCAGAAGCTTCGTGTGCATAAAGTCAAGGGAGTGGATCGCAGCCTGCTTGTTTTCTTTGGTTAACGTGCGACCAGAGGGAAGTAGGAAACCAAATTAGAGATAAACTCCCAGATGAATTATGTCACCCAGACACGATTGCATTTACTCCCAATTTCTCCTGTGTTGCATATCAGATCCAAATGTTTTGCTCATACTGCAGGCGTGGCGCTGGTGTAATGTTGTTGGTGAGAAAACAGATAAAGATTTTATATTTGTTTATTTCTAAGCTGTTATTCCTTTGCTTTTGTCCAAGCAGCTGGAACAACAGTTTTTACAGTCTGAAACCACCCAAGCATGGAGCAAAAAAATAAATAAACAAATTAAAATAGCACAAAACAAAGCCCCGTTGTTCACCAGGTGCTTTCCCTTCCCACATATGAAGTCATCCTCAAACATGTGCTATCGAAGAGGAAGATCCATCCACAGTGAGGTCATGAGAAGGGTATTTTTGAACGAATGCCATCTTTCCCCACACCCAAAATGAAGTAATGTGGGATTGTTTGGATTTAGAGGATGATGGTTCTGCTCAGGCCCGTTTGGTAGCATGTGTTCATTTTTCACACATTTCTTGATGCTGACGAAATAAAAAAGGTCCCGTCCGACACCTGCCTCTCTCTGCGACCCTGGGTTCACTTTCTCTTGTTCCCTTCAAACGTCAGCTCAGCTCCCGTGGGTCAGATTTAGTTTTGGCTACGCTGACGTAGATGCTAGATGCTAACGAGCTAACCAAACAGAGTGAGATTAGATTAGATTAGGCCGAGACTACAGGGGAAATGGGGTGTTCCTGGCCGACTGCCATGAAAGACAGAAAGAAAACAATTTTTCATATAGCGCCTCTCAAGAAAAAAATCACGAGGCGCTTCACAAAAAAAACGGATAAAAAAGATTTTTAAAAATTCTTAAAAATATGTTTAAAATTAGAGAAAATAATGAAATATTGATATTAAAAAATAATTAT